GTTTGTTGACTTTTTTTGGGGGGGTTGATCTCACTTTGGTTGGGTCAATGGAAGTTGGTGGGGTTTAAGGCAAAAATAATGTAGTGATTAGGTCTATCTGAGGCCTTTAACAAACCAAAAAAATATAAGGGGTTTTTGATAGAGAATGTTGTGAATTTGCCAAACATTAATGACATCAAACGGTGATGATGCAAGTTGGAATGAAGCAAAAGGCCTAAATGATTCTCATCGAATGTCAACTATACAATATATATGCACCCTAGAGTTTTTAAGAAGAGTTTACTTTGGAGATGAACCTACAAAATATCAGACAAAATCCCACAAATAATATTTTATTAATCTTCCATCAGTCCAGATTATATTTACTACAACCTACAAGGCATTATTAATAATAAGTAATTAGAAAAAAAAAAATTACTCTGATGCTTAAGTAATTATCGAAAATAAAAAAGCGCTATCTCTGCTGGTGATGTGAAATTGGCTTAATTAGTTTGTTAAACTTGATGGAAAATTGGATCGTTAATTGGTTGTTCGACCAATTATATTTTAGATAAATTGGATTGTTAATGGCTGTAATTGTTTTGATGGAGAGTATTTAATTGTCATAGGTTATTCGTGTTGAAACAATGTTCGTTACAAGTTATTAGCGGTGAAGTAATAGTTTATGTGCAATAAAGCAACCTCAAAAAAGATTTGTCACACCAAAATATTTTCTATTTTTTTTTAAATATAATTTTAAAAAATAAATTTTAGCAAAGTCACGTAATTGTGGAAAGTAAGCAATCCTGTGGCAGCTCTCTTGTTTCGTTGCCAAAAGTATTTTATGAAAAGAAAATATTTGTTTTAAAAAATACATTGGCGACCAACTTATATATTTGGTCGCCAAAGCTTTTAGTCATCAACAAAAGCATATTTCTTAAATAATTTTTTTTAAAATAAAAATGTTTCTTGGAAGCAATAGGATCTGTTCATTCATATATCATTCAAAATAATAACTGTCTCAAACATCCAATTACAAAATTCATATACATATCAAAATAAGCATCTCCAATACCAAACTCAAAGAAAAATCTGTAATACAAAAAAAATATAAATCAGTCAAATATGTGGCCAATTGTTTGGGCTACGAGTCTTGGGCCTTCGTTTAACGAAAATATGTTGGGCCATGAAACCCGTGTTTGAATTCCGTTTGCAGAATTGTTGTTCGTATTGGGCCATCACCAAGGTCCATTTACTTCTTACCTTTATTGGCCCATTAACAAATTAAGTGAAGAGGTAATGTATGCATGAAATCAATTTGATGATTATATAAAACTTGAATTCATATATGTTTTAATTCAAATTGTAGTACGAACTAGTTAAACTGGATTTGTTCCTTCATTGCACAGTAGAGTTGGATTGAAATTGCTATGCTAATTACCAAAGGAAGAGAAGGAAAAGAAAGCATGCGTGTGATCGAAATTAGTTGTGCATGTCAAATGCAGATGATATTAGCTTTGTGAACCCTTATTTTCTTTTGAAGTTGCTATTTTAATCTGATTGTGAACTTGATTTGGGGAAAGAAAAAGTGACACCGTTTAGCGATTTTTGACAGCAGGGGGGAATCTTGATATTGTCAGGTAAAGTAGGGGAGGTTACTGTAATTATTCAAACCACAGGAGAGGTCCCTGTATTTGTCAGAAACCTCAGGGAAGGTAAATGTAATTTACCCATAAAATTTTGATTTTTATAAAATTTTGATTTTTTAGGTGTATTAGCTTATGGCCAAACGTGTGGTGTGTATACTTGTATAAATCTGTGTGTAGTGTGCTCAGCATCTCCATTGGAGATGCCCCAAACACCACAAATCCAATCCCACTCTACTTCATTGCTATTCCTACTTTTGTTCTAAAATTTAGCCCTATATTCCCAATACATTTCCAAACACAAGATTATATCTCAAGATTTCAATATTTCAAAATTCCACTACATCTTGTGGTTAAGAGTGTATTGAAAAATAGAAAAATAAGGATATTATATGATAAACAAAAAATGAGTGAACAGATGAGGGTTTTCAATGCCCTAGAAAATCGTATAATATCCACAAACGTGAACTGAGATACACTGAATCGTATAATGCCCTAGAAAAGTGAATTGAGATACAGAAAATCGTAAACTATATCCTACGAATAACAAAATTTGTAACTTTTCAATGCCCTAGATTCAGCAATGAAATGAAAACCCCAAATTTGGAAATTTAATGCCCTAACTTTTCAATGCCCTAATTTCGAAATTTAAGATCCCAAATTTGAAATGAAAACCCTTATTTATGCGATACAAACCTGAATGTGGTTGTTTGATGAAGGTGTTCCTCGTTTTTCCGGTGGTGTACTGTTGGCCGTTGTTTGTTGCTTTCTCTTCGTCGTCGGTCTTTCCTTCGGAGTTCGGCTGAGTGAGGGAGAAGAAGATGGGCTGGAAAAGAAAAAATGACTTTCGTAAAGGGAGAAGGAGATGGATTTTGTGTAAAATGAAACGGCTTTCCGAAAATCGTTTTTCATTTATGATAAAATTCTTATTTTAGGCAAACAATATTTATAAATTGAATTTTTTTTTATTAAAAATAAAAACGGTTTTACAAAAATCGTTTTCTATTTATTTTCAAATTATTATTTTAAGCAAACAATATTTATAAATTGAAAAAAAAAATTAATAAAAATAAAAACAATTTTAAAAAAACCGTTTTATATAAACCATTTTTATAAAGGAAAATTTTATTATTTTTTTATTCATCAAAAATGACTTTACTAATGCCATTTTAATGAAAACAATTTTGATAAAACCGTTTCACCCTATATTAAGAATAAAATAAGAAACACAACCTACTAAAATATTCAAAATGCCCCCGGACAGGGAAATTGGCCCACAGACATAATACTCGCGGCCAAAGCCCATCTCTGTAAAAAGCCCCTTCTCATTCGTTGCTCTCTCTCTCTCTCTGAAAAAGAGGAGGAAAGAGATGAGCTTTTCATTTTTAGAGAGAGAAACCATCTCTTTCTCTCTCTAGGGTTCTCCCTCTCGCCATTTTTACGCTTCTCTGTCTTTCATTAATCTCGAGCTCATCGAATTCCACCTGTGATCCCCCGCGCTAGATTCGCTTCAAATTCCCTGAATTTTGATGTGTTTTCGCTCAATTGAGTCGGTGTTCCATGCTGTTGAGACCGAGGTAATGTATGCATGAAATCAATTTGATGATTATATAAAACTTGAATTCATATATGTTTTAATTCAAATTGTAGTACGAACTAGTTAAACTGGATTTGTTCCTTCATTGCACAGTAGAGTTGGATTGAAATTGCTTATGCTAATTACCAAAGGAAGAGAAGGACAAGAAAGCATGCGTGTGATCGAAATTAGTTGTGCATGTCAAATGCAGATGATATTAGCTTTGTGAACCCTTATTTTCTTTTGAAGTTGCTATTTTAATCTGATTGTGAACTTGATTTGGGGTTTTGGGCTTTATTTGGTTTATTGGCCTTGTATTTGTTTTAACAATATTTATTCAAAGAGTACTAACCAAGTGGTGAAGGGTTTTACGCATATTGAACGATTACGCTTCTTCTCATTGGTGCTACATCATCTAGGCTGGTGTGGTAGCATTAGGGTACCCATTGGATAGGGGACTTGAGGCATAGGACGTGCTCTAGAGGAGGACTTCCTCGGCTAAGCATCGGGGGCGGGGTTTTAAGTGTGCCATGGCAAGTGCCTTTGGAAATAATTTGTGTGTGCGTAGGCCTGAAGCTAAGACGCTGCGGGCATTAATCTCACTTGAAATAGGCATGGCTCGATCCAAAGAGGGAGCTGTCAGGCCTTGTGTTTTAGTGGTTTGCATATCACATCATGAGGCTGGCAAAGAGGGAACGCGTAATGATGCGGAGATGACATAACATAGTGCGTCTATCTACCCACACTGGGACATTTTCCAAAATTGGATTTTATGTATTTATTTTTATTGTTTTTCTTCTGCACACGTGCATACCTATATGTTTTAGTATGATCATATCCAGTCCATTACTCCTTTATGTAATTCTTGCTCATCACTATTTGACTATTTTTTATTCATAATTTTAAGTTAAGCTCTAGTGATGCATTGTCTAGTTGTGCTGCCAATGCAGCCAATAAGTATTTATTGTTGAATGCAGCTCATCCCATGTTCTGTAACATTAGTATTCATAGTTCTGAAATGTATTTCTTTTTGTGCACTCCACTTAAATGCATGGAATTTGTTTTTTTGTGAGCTGACATTTGCTCATGCTCCATAGGTGTACAGATTATATTAGTCCTGATGGTGTGTTCACTTGGAAGTGGGAGGATGGAAGCCATGGCAAGGCTTCTGGCAGCAGGAAGTTTCTCACAAACTATTGCAGGTAGGAGATTTGGTGTATGGTGGCTTGTATCAAATGTTGCAATGTAACTCCGGAGCTGTTAATCCCATGGATTATATGGGTGAACACTTTACATAATATTCAAGTTAAGATAACGGGGTGTTTATGGAAAGTGGTGGAAGAATAGGTAAGGTAGGTGTATCTTGCTTTAGAAGTACTCAGTGAGGCAAAAAAAAAGAACAGATTAACAAAAGAAGAATCTGCATCCTGGTATGATTAACTGTGTAGAAGGCATTTTTTTTGGGAAGGAGCCATCCAACAAGGATCAAACAAACATAGAAAAACTATACAAGGAATCACATTTTAATGAGATTAAAACTAATTAAACAGTAGGTTTACAGGAAGTATCATCGTCGAAAGGCCATAGCTGTCAAAATAAGTTTTTAAAAGGCTAACCATGGCTATCCAAACCGAAGCAACTGGAATGGACATCAATCTAAATGCATCCTCTGTTCTCACTGAAGCCATCTATTTGACTTAGTATCCTTAATATGCCTGTAGTTGATGTAAATGACCTTGCTTATAAGTTAGTGCTTGAAAAGATTTAAAAAGCTGAGCATCCCATCTGCCCTACACCAGTGAACCAGAACATACTGGTCTTCACACAGACACAAATGTATATTAAATAATATGGTTCGCAAGATCATTGTAGTACATGTTGAAAAAACTTTTGTTCATTTGATTTGGACTTAATTTTGCGGCGGTCATCTAGTATGAGGATGGCATATAAAGACCAAGACAGCTGATCTAGGAAGTTATTCTGTATCTATAGTATTGAGAAATAGACATTTTTAATTTAATTTATTTAATAACCTACCTTCTCCCTTGCTTCCTTTGACAGAGGAAGTTGGCAACCAGAAATTAGCTGCTCAGTACATCCAAAGAGAGTTACGTGAGGCAGATGACGCAAATTTGCTTGATGAAGAAGGTGAGTTTTTATTTTTTTGTCAGATACCAATTCATGCATGCTTGCCTTGTCTGATTTAACTATGGTTCCCCTTCATTCAAAAGGTATAGAGTTACTTTTGTATAGGTTGTACATCTTTAAGTTTTTTGTATAGTTGGGAGTTGAGATTGTTTACCCCACTCTTGACCAATTATTGGATTTTGTAGAGTTTTTTGTTAAACTAGGCGATGGTGTATAAGTGATTTCCTGGTTTTATTTCCTTCTTTTTATATATGGATGGTATTTTGTGCCTTCTCTCAATGAAAATATTATTTATCAAAAAAGAATATTAAATTTTGGTTACTTTTGCATTGATTGGTGTTAATACTTCATCAACTATCTTGATAATTTTGTGTTGCAGACATGCATGTATTTGATTTGAAGCCCATGACGGATTCTTTGCATTTGGTAAGTTTTGGAAAATCTCGTTCTTTAAGTAGGTTTTCGCATAGTAGTATCTTAATGCTTTATGATGTTGTGACAAGGGAGCCTATCCTGTAAGTATCTTTTCCTGTTCATATGCACTTTACTTCCTCTGAGATGTCCCTTTGTGAAGCTGTTTGTTTGCATATAGTGGGCCATGATAGGAAGTGTTTCAAGTCCAATTCTACTTGTAATGGGCCCAAGATAGGGTGGTATGCATGTCCACAAATGACAAATGTCTGAAAAATATTTAACTTGAACATAGGAAAATTTATGAGAAATGTCTGCAAAATGAGAAATGGGGTCGGCATACAGCCATTTAATGGGACTTAAGGTTTGGTTTGGTTTATAGGAAAATTTATGAACATCTATGCTTTATTTTTGAATCTACAAGGAAAATACATTATGCATGTATCACTATAACAATTGTGCTAGAGCAATCTTCCTTAATGAATATTGTCAACAAACATTACACCAATAAATCTATTTGACTCGCAAATTGACTTGAGGAATGCTGAAGCAAATGTGATGGTCATTAATTCTTCTGAGTTGTAACTCTGAATCATTTGTGTGATATTGATACGATAGCCTCTTGCAAAAAAAAAAAAGAAAAAAGAAAAAAAGGAAATATATTATACAATTTTGATGCAATTACCCAAACTCTATATTATACAGTCTAGTGAAATGTTGAAATTGATAAAGTTGAATGATGGCGAGTCACTGAATAACAAAGATATATACCTTGTTTTATGCCTGGCTTGCTTCTTTTCTTTCCTTTCCTTTCTTCTTCTTCTTGTTTTATGCCTGGCTTGCTTCTTTTCTTTCCTTTCCTTTCTTCTTCTTCTTCTTCTCTCTCCCCCTCCCCCCCTCCCTCCCTCTCTCCCTCAATATCTTCTTACCTTAGCTGCAAAGAATGCCTTCACCCGATGGGAAATTAGCAAATGCTGCAGCTATTTAATTATAATATTTGCTGAATACTTTTTCTCCAAAATATCTGTTCAGTTGAAAATGTGCCCATGAATTGTGGCATCCTAAAGTTCCCCAGTATCTGTATGTGCATGTTCGTGTATGGACTTTGATTTTACTTAATTTATTATTAATATTGTTTTGAAGGTCCGTTGCAATGCTTGTAAGAAGCCAATCAAGGCCAGCCAATACGCAGCTCATGCAGGTCACAAGTGTTTCTTTTTCCATGAACTATTCTATTAAAATCAGACAATGAAAATTTGTTTCAGAATCATCGGAGCTGAAAATCATAATACAACTGAGTTTAAAGACGTTTTGTTTTATTTTGAGATGTATTATTTATACCAATAGCATCAGTGTTGTTTGAAAGTTAAGACATGAGTTGAAGCAAGTGCCACTGATGTCTGATAAAAAATAAAACCACTGCTTTGATGACTACGTTTTTACTTTACAAGATGTTTCCCAATTAATCTCCAATGGTCCAACCCTAATTAGTTGCACGTTAATTCCTAAACCACAATCCTTCAACAATTGCGCTTCACCGAAATGGGTTCTATTCTTTTTTATTTTTTTTCAGAGCTCTGTAAATCTTTAAGTCCAGCAGAAGAAATTGTTGCGGAACTTGATGGTGGTACTGGGCACAAGAAACCTCCAAGGAAGGAGAGAAAAAAGTTACTAACTGCTTATGCTAGTATCCTTTTAACTGCTTTAACAGAAGTTGTTTAATTTTTATAATTATGACAATCATGTCACATTTCATTTTAGAGGACTTTGCTTTCCTTTACTCCATTTGTCTAAAGCTACATTAGGTGGAGAGCAAGGAAGGTTTGAATCTGCAGAAGCCAATGATGTAGCCACATTAGAATTTCATTTGGATGGACAAAATCAACTGACTTCTTCCCTCTCCATGGAGACAAAACGTATCTTCTTTTGCTCTGGTTTCATGTTTGTTCATCTCTAATTGATTCCTTTTTTCCTGTACATTCCATCGGTTAATAATATTTTCTCATAGAAAAACATTGACAATTCGTGGCCAGTATATGCTGTGGTGTGTTTAGTTACAATTCTGTTCCAAATTTAGATCATTATGATGAACAAGTATTGTCCAATTGAAGTCATTCTGTCTTGATGGAATATTAGCATTGTTCCTGTCGCTAGGGTAGGAAAGGTTTTTCATTCCTTTGAAAGGGTTACTGTCTAATTGCTAGCGGTACTGATAGGAGTTGTTAAATTGTTGTGATATTCGAATACTAAAAATTGTGACTCAGGGCATCCTTTATTTGGCATTCAATGGATGGATTTTACTCTGAAAGGTGTCTGCTGGATAGGATTTTGTAAATATTTAGATTCCTCTTGTCCCAATACTGTATCTGGCATGTACTAAAGAAGGAAAATGTTAATTGTGTTTATGGAGTATACTGATCCTTTGTGTTTCTTGAGTGAATTAAATTTATTTTGTTCCTTCATGTCATCTCATTTTTAACTAATGAACATTTCATTTTGTATTACGTTTCCTGATTTGATTTTAAATTGAGAATATGTTGTAAAACGGTGAAATTGTTCGCCGCGTACTTCTGTAAAATATATTTTGCATGGCGTTGTCTTCCTTATATGGTCTTAATTTTTGATTGCCTTCTTTTTCTCCATTTGGAAATTCATCTTGTGTAGATGGGGCATTTATAACAGGTGGTTCAGGAGTTAGTCCTGGAAATACAGATTACTCAGCAGGTGCAATGCCACCTCCAGCAAAGCGTTCTAAAATGTATGCTCCTCTCCATTGTTAATTATGATTTTCCTGCATTGTTTCAGATAATTATTGCACTTTTTTTTTTCCTTTTCCATTTCAATTTCTTCTCTCCATATACCATTCTCATTGTTCCATTTGATGTATGCTAGTTATTCCCAGAAATAAATTATTGTGTGGTGTCTTTTCATGCCTTTAGAGAAGAATGATTTTTAATGACGGAACAACTGATTCCTAATGGTTCAGTTTTCTTCCCTACAGGCAAATATTTAGTAGATAACTAGTGCATAGGCATGTGACTTCTGGCGAATATTTCTTTCTGTCCCCTAATACTACTTTTTACTCCTTGGAAAGAGCTGGTGGTTTGCTCTCCTTTTAGGAATAATTTGAAATTGGGATTTCTTGATTTGGTTCAACAGTACATGTTTTAGATTTCTACTTGAAATTTAAATGGGAAGATTAACAGGACAGTTTCAGTTCGAACTCGTTCTTTCTTAAATTTTCTTCTAGACATACTGAGGACACCTTCTTTTGTTTCCACATTGAATGTAAATTTGTCTTGATCTTGTAGGATGGAATCTGAGGGTCTACCAATGCTAGATCATTTAGAAACAGCCAGTGGTGTAGCCAAAAGTTTGTGCATAAGTACTCAGGAGGCTCGTACCTGTAAGTCTGTATTTATTTTACGTGAATTACAATTTTCACTCAACTTCCCATATAGTTTCTTTTTGGAGTATCATTCAAAACCTTCAATGTGTTTCTGTAATAATTTTTTTTTCCATTTTTAATCTTCTTTTGGAATTATAATGCAAACTTTCAAGTTCATAGTGTATGTTGCTTTACAGTTTCATTGTCAATCATTGAAAAATTGGCACCTGGGTTTTCAATATAGGTGGGGATTTGTCATCCACACATAGATTTCGTATTCTTTCATACACCCTTTTGCTGTAGAATGGCAGGGGAAACACTACCAAGGATAAGAGAATTCTAAATTTTCTCACTCTTCCTACTTTTCTACTCTTTATTCTCTCATATGAATTTTGGTCCAAATATCTTTTATGTTTGTCTAAGAAGTACGGACACTTCTAAGAAGGTGACGTATCCGTGTCGTGTCCGTGTCGGACACCGCCATTCTTTGAACACTTTCCTGACACGTGTCTGACACTCTTCAAAACATGTCTTATTTTTTATTGTTTTTAAAAAACTCGGACACTCTTTGGATACTTGAAGGACACATGTGTCTATCACTTAAACACATGTGTCTATTGATTAGACACAGGTGAAACTAATTATAAATTTGAACAAAATAACTTAAGATATAAGAATAAAACAAAAACCATATAAATTTATAGGAGTTTGTCATATTGCATTATATATAACATATAATAAATGTATAAAATTATATATTTCATGCGTATCCTGCACGTGTCGTGTCTTGCATTTTTTGAAAATTAGCATGTTAGCATGTCTGTGTCTTGTCGTGTGTCCGTGTCCATGCTTCTCCATGCAAGGCTGGTGGGGATTTTTTTGTTTTTATTTAATTTTCTTAGGTTGTTTGTATTCTGAGAGGTGTTTCTCATTTTATGAAATCCTTGGGTGAAATTCATGTATATGCTTCAGATAGTGGTATTTTATGGGGATTCTGGGTGTGAAAAGCCACAGCACTTATGGTGCTGCTTTTTGATGCATATGTTTTATTAGTGTTTGACATATTTTCCTCTGTTCAGGTGGAGGGTTTCCCAAAGAGTCAAGTGGCAGAAGCGAAAAGACTTTTGATTGTGTTGTTGGAAATCAAAAACCTAGTCAAGTCCATGATCGTTGCGTGCTGAGCAAAGGTATGAGTTTATCAGACACTTCGACCCAATCTGTTTATTTCTCATGCCCTCTTTTATTGACTGGAAAATGGGAAGTCATGCCTCTGACTTTCTCATAGGAAGTTAATTGAGATAATTGTTCAACTGATCAGAATTTCTATTCTGTTGATTTTGGAAAGTTCTCCTGAAACAAATTTTTTTTTTCTTTTCTCTTTGCTTTGTAATTTTTTTTTGGGGGGTAATTATTGTCATGCACTAAAATCAGATGCTCCAGCTCCCCTTGCAACCAAAGTGTTTTACTCTCAAAGGAATCATCGTCTCCGATCAGCACTTACATATCTTTATTATGAGGCATCCTTTGAGGAGCACTCTGGTGATTTGGTGAATCAGAAAACATTAAATGCCATGCCGTTACAAGTTTCATCTCCTAAGAATTTCTCTTATGAACAAATTAATGTCCAGAGGGGAAAGGTTTGCCATTTTTTATTTCTCTACTCTCTGAAATGGTCTATTCTACTACCTTGGCACGTTTTCCTGGACAATTATGTGGCATATTACATGCAGATAACATGGATGTACAAAAACGGTATCCTCCCTTTTTCAATAAGAGAAAGTAATGTTAATGAAATTTAACTTCGAAAACTTGCCACAAGGCTGTCTATGGTGGGTTTGTGGTGATGTAGGAATATATTATAGAATTAGGGTTTTAAAAGGTAGAAGAAAAGTTGTAGGGTTTGTAGAAGGAAAAGGCTGTAATTGATTGGGTTCAAAATTGGCAGCTTGCTGAAATTTTCAAATTGAGGCTATTTGATGGCCTAAACATTGAGTAATTTGGGGTTTTAGCATTTAATTTGAAGGCCAATGTTTGAGGTGTCAGGCTTGATTAGAGTTTGATTGAGGAGGGTTTTAAGACTGAAAAGTTCACTTTTTAGGGGTTGAGAACAGTTACCTAAGTATGTCCAAAATACCCTTAACTACTAGAACTGAATAAAAATCCATTAAATCTGTCCAGCAATATTCTAATCTATAAAATACATAAAAATAATACTCGGACTAACCCCAAAACATGATCACATAAGTCCTAGCCCGTAGGTGTAATTGTGAAATTTCATATTTGTTCTTTTCTTCGTTCTATGCTCGCCATCAATAACATAGAGGGAAATGTTAAAGTGGAAAGAATGTGTGCAGTGGTTAACTAGATACCGCTGTCAGACCCCAACCCCAAATCAAAGGAGAAATTCTAGCATAACATATACCAGTATTGGCAATTTACCATGTTAGGTTGAAGGAGTGTGGAATTAATATTCTATTAATACCAGGTTTTAAGTAAAGTACATAAATCAAATGGAAATGTAAAGTTAATACCCTCACATCTTCACCAAACATAGCCTAGCATGAGCAGCATTATCATATGAAATGTATTAAATGAGTAATAATCAACAATGCATATTACCAATGTGTTATCTAATGTACACAATGTAGTTTTATTTCTCCTTTGAGATCGTGTATCATGCTTCATAAGCTATGAAATACCTTGAAATCGTGTATCTTCTTCGTCTTCTTTTTTTTTTTTTTTGGATTCCTAAATAAAATTTTTTTTTTGGCAAGGGTATTGGTAGTGTTTGGTAGTTACACTCATTTTTAAAATTCCTGTAGTGGGCCCATTAATTGACTAGTTCTTTTCGTACCATTTCTTGTAACATGCTTATGGATATCAAATAAATATTGCTTTTGAATGTTCATGAAGTGATGGCCTCTTTTACTTGAATTCCTCATAATATTTGCTCGTGAAGCTTTTGTATGTAGTTCACACCTTCTCACCCCCTTTCAATTAATGAAACGGAATAGAAAAAACAACGCAATTGACATTCTAGTTGGAATATTTAGTGATTGAGAGATTCATTAGTATTCGTCTAGATTTATGAAGTGTTTTAATGTGATATGTTTGCATGGCAAATATTGCTGAAAACTTAGTTAGGTACAGTATCGTATTTTCAATTGAATAGAAAAACGAATTACAAGAAATATATATATATATATATATATAAGACAACTATGCTAACCTTAATTGCTACCAATGACTAAACTACCCTTAATACATATGCTTAACACCCCCCGGCAAACTCATGATGTAATAGCAGGAAGCATCGAGTGTTTGTCAAGCAGAAAACGGAAATGCATGATAGTATGAGACTTGGTGAAGAAATCAACAAGCTGCATAGTAGAGGAGACAAAGGGCAAGGACAACGTGCGAAGCTGTATGTGATGGCGCACAAAGTGGCAGTCAATCTCAATATGTTTAGTCTGCTCATGAAAAATAGAATTATGAGCAATTTGAATGGCACTGGTATTATCACAATACATAGCAGTAGGACTAGGGGTGGAGACACCAAAGTCGGAAAGCAACCAACGCAACCAGACAATTTCAGTAGTGGTAGTAGCCATAGCACGATATTTAGCCTCAGCAAAAGATCGAGCAACAACAGTTTGCTCTTTGCTTTTCCAAGAAATAAGAGAACTACCCAGAAAACACAAAGGCCCGTAGTAGACTTACTGTCCATAGCATCACCAGCCCAATCAACATCAGAAAAAGCACGAAAATCCAAAGAAGTAGCAGAGAACAATAAACTCTGATGCAAGGACCCATGAAGGTAGCGCAAAATACGAAGAACAGCAACCCAATGAACAGTAGTCGGAGAAGAAACAAGCTGACTAACAATATGAACAGCATAGGCAATGTCGAGCCGAGTAATGGTAAGATAGACAAGGCTGCCCACTAGAATCCGATATAAAGTAGGATTAGGCAAAGGGACATTGTTAGTGGAAGTATAGTGCACATTAAGTTCGAGAGGAGTGCCAACAGTGCAGGAGTTGGTCAACTTGGCTCGCTGAATAACATCAGTTGCATACTTGGACTGAGATAGAAGATAATCCCGAGGCGAAAAGGCCACCTCAATGCCCAAAAAATAACGAAGCGAACCAAGATCTTTCATCTCAAACTGATGATGCAAGTGAGCCTTGAGAGCAGAGATACCATCAAGATCGTCGCCAAAGACCACCATGTCCTCAACATATAATAAAAGAATAATGAGCCTCGTAGAAGTGGACCGTAGAAAGAGAGCCAAGTCATGATCACTGGTACGAAAACCTAAGTCACAAACAACAATAGAAAATTTCTCAAACCAAGTTCGAGGAGCTTGTTTGAGACCATATAAAGCTTTGCGAAGGCGACGAACTTCACTAGGTGCATGAGGGAGCCCAGGAGGAGGGACCATAAAGACTTCCTCAACTGTGTTACCTTTGAGAAAGGCATTCTTGACATCCATTTGAGATAGATGCCAGTGACGCACAACAACAACGGCAATCAAGGTATGAACAGTGGTCATCTTGGCAACCGGAGCAAGGTCTCCTCATAATTAAGACCATATTCTTGAGCAAAACCTTTAGCCACCAAACGGGCTTTATAGCGTTCCACAGAACTATCGGCTTTGGTTTTAATCTTATACACCCACTGACAACCAACAGTATGTTTACCAGAAGGCAAAGCAACAATATTCCAAGTACCAGTCTTATGTAAAGCAGAAAGTTCCTCATTCATAGCCTGTTGCCAAAGAGGGTAAAAAATAGCCTCCTTATAGGAGATGGGCTCAGAAAGAAAGTGAATGGAAGATAAGAAAGTACAAAATTCAAAAGAATAACTAGAGTTAGAAGATCCATAACGAGTAGGACATGTACATACCCGTTGAGGATACTAAGAAATAGGAGCCTCATTAGCAGCAGGTAATGGAGAGACAGTCAGAGGAGGAAGGGGAGGTGTACCTGCAAGCAAAACATGTTGTTTCTTACGAGCATAAGTGTGAATAAGAGGAGGGGGGACAGTAAGAGTGGGAGACGAGGAAGAAGAGGAGGGAATATCAGAAGGAGACAAATTGTGAACATAAGAATCAAAAGGGATAACATTAGGAAAATGATCGAGATAAATAAGATTAGATTTAGTGAAAGGAGCAGATGCAGAGGGAATAGAAAAGAAGGGGATATGTTCAAGAAGAACAACATGGCGAGAAACATAGAGACGTTGAGTTGTGGGGTCATAACAGCGATAACCCTTTTGACCGTCACCATGCCTAAGAAAAACACACATGGCAGAATGGGCTGACAACTTGGTATGGGTTGCACAATGAAGGACAAAACAAGTACAACCAAAAACACGAAGAGAGAAATAGTCAGAAGGAGTACCATGTAAACGTTCTAAAGGGGAAATGCCGCAAGTCACTTCGAAGGGTATGTGGTTAATAATATGAACAGTAGTAAGAAGAGCCTCCCCCCAAAATGAGCTAGGAACAGAAGAAGAAATCAAAAGAGAGTGAGTTGTTTTCATGATGTGACAGTGCTTGTATTCAGCCACACCATTTTGCTTAGGAGTTTAAGCACAAGAAGATTGTTGAAGAGTACCATCTGATTGTAATAAGTGAAGGAAATCACTATCACGATATTCCCCACCTAAATCACAGTGAAAACATTTAATAACAGAAGAGTATTGGGTTTGAATCATGGCACGAAAAGCAATATAAATAGGGTAAAATTCAGATCGGTGCTTCTTCAAATAAATCCAACAGTGACGAGTATAATCACCAATAAAAGAAACATAATATCGGGAACCCCCTTTAGTGGGAATGGGTGCAGGACCCAACACATCAAAATGCATAAGATCAAAAGGTTTAGACGAAGTAGTGAAACTTTTATTAAATGGTAAAGCAGTAAACTTTGCTAATTTGCATCCACTACAATCGGAAATATTATGACTACTCAAAGAACCTAAGACACCAGTAGAAACTAAATACTGTAAACGAGAACTAGACACATGACCAAGGTGAGAATGCCATAAATAAAAAACAGACGACTTAGGACTCAACCAAAAAGAAGACAAATCAATTGAAGATGCAGCAAGGGGAGGAACATGCATCGTCTCCAGAACATATAAACCTCCCAACCTACGGCCGGTCCCAATCAGCTGCTTGGAATGAGGATCTTGCACAACACAACCAGATTCAAAGAAATAAACACAATAATCAATGGCACAAAGTTGACTAATAGAAATAAGATTTAAAGTTAACTGAGGAATACAATAAACATCCGAAAGAGAGAGAGTATCAGTCAAAATGGACCCAACCCCAACCAAAGACATAGGAGTACCATTGGCGGCCATAATAGTAGTAGTAGAAGGAGGAGAAAAGATAGACAATAAGAGGGAGGAATCATGAGTCATATGATGTGTAGCACCAGAATCAAAAACCCATATGGAACGAGATATACCTGGAGGAGATGAGGGGAGGAAGACAAACCAAGAGGTGAGGAGACAGTTAAGGCATTTGGTGTATGAGTAGAGAGGTGTTTCTGCAGTTGTTCAGCAATAACAGTCAAAGATGGAGAGGAGTCATCCACTGAAGAAGTCGTGGCAGCTGTATGTCCCTTTTTCCAAGAGGATGATTGGCCAGAATGCCTATCAAAATTCTTTCTCCAAGTCGGTGATTGCCCAAATGGTGGACAGCCCAAAAGCTGAGGACACTGAGCCTTCTAATGACCTTTTTGATGACAAAAGCTGTGTTCATCCATAGGAGCATGAGCATAAGATTTGCTGGGAGAAGTAGAAGAATGACTAGTAGGAACGGCTAGAACTGTCTGAGTTGGCAAAGGAAGCAATCCTTTGCCAGGTGCTGTTTTGAAGCAAAGTTCTTCAGCCAATAACTCATTAACCACAGAATCAACAGAAGGGAGAGGACTCCGATGCATAATAGTGCCGCGAAGCCCCTCAAAATCAGTCCTAAGGGCCATTAAGAATTGAACCAGCAGCTGCTCCTCCCGATAAGTACAATATGCCGCATGAGTGCTCAATGACTTAGGCTCGGTAAAAGCTAATTGATCCCACAAACCAATCATGGTAGAATAAAATTCTTGGATACTCTTATCGCCTTGTTGAGTAGCACGAATCTCATGTTCTAACTGATACCGTTTAGCAAAATTTGATTGAACATACAACCGAGATAGATGATCCCAAATTTGTTTCGCAGTAGTAAAGTTGGCAAAATGAATCCCAATAGACTGATCTACAGAATTATTAATTCAAGTAATAATCTTGGCGTTAGTAACTTGCCAAGTAGAGAGCAAATCTTGAAACTTTTCAACATTGGCATCGGTGGGCATAGGAGAATCACCAGTAACAACATCCCAAACATTTTTACCCAGAACAAAATTTTTCATGACATAGGCCCAATAAACATAATTATCTCCCACTAACTTCATGCTAATGGCTTGAAGTGAATCTGACATTCCACTAGACATGATATTAAAATATAAAGAACTTCATAGAGAAGACCATAGAGAAGTCACAAGGAACCGGCAACACAAAAAAGAAGAGAAGCTGAAGCAGATTACCTAAGTATCACACCTTCAAACCAAACGAGCCAATATCAGTCGTGGTTAGAAGAACCAAACGCGATTTTGAGATAAGAGGGAGAGTCGTGAGGAAGAAACGGCTTAGACTATGAATCGCGACTTCGTGAGGCACAAACAAGCCCACTCGACTTCGACTTCGCAAGGCACCAACGCGACTGTGAATCGCGACTTCATGAGGCACAGACAAGCCCACTCGACTTTGACTTCGACTTCGCAAGGCACCAACGCAACTGTGAATCGCGACTACGTGAGGCACAGACAAGCCCACTCGACTTCGATGCAAGAGTGTATAGCGGCAAACGAAGAGAAGCAACCAATGCGACTGTCTTCAGTTCATACCAACACCAACGAGAGGTTAGCTGTCAAAACCTGGCTTTGATACCATGAAAACTTAGTTAGGAACTACGTATCGTATTATTCAATTGAATAGAAAAACAAATTATAAGAAATATATATATATATAAATATAAGACAACTATGCTAACCCTAATTGCTGCCAATGACTAAACTACCCTTAATACATATGCTTAACAATTGCTAGTAAGAAAAGTGATGCTCATATTATCTTTATTTTGACATCTTATATCATAAATAGCTGATTATGTTTGTCTTCTGATATTTATATCTGAAAATGCCAATGAGCTACATCTGCTTTTGAGAAAAACTTACACCACTTTTGTTTCCTGGGGTACAGAGAGAAAAAAGCTCTTTGCCTTCTGTGCAAAAACCTGATCAAATTCTTGCAGATAGTTCGGATGCATACTTGGGTAAATTAGGAGGATGCATGCCAGCCGTGAACTGCTCAAATCATGTTTCTTCTGTGAATAATATCTTAAGACCACAAACTGCATCCATCGGAATTGCGAGAAGCAATTATCATTCAAAGCCTTATTCTTTTGCAGGAAACACAGGTAGACCATTTCAAATTTTACTGTAGCTTCATATACTTTGCTCTTTATTTTTTCCAGGGAAAAAAAAGGAAAAAGACTAACGTAGACTAAGATATGAAAGCCATATGAGAATAAAGTTTCTAATGGTAAACATAATGTTTAGCTGATAAACCAGTGTTATATATGTACTATAAGATGGGATAACAATACTCATCATTGACTTTGATTTTAATTGAACTGCAATAAAATTGATAGGTCATCTAAAAAGAACATCTATAATTTCTAAAAATGAAGAAGAATAATTTCCACCTATTTTTTTTTAATATTATTATTATCATAATTTTAATGCAAGTAGATGGGAGATTTCATTCTTGCCTTTTCTATTTTTACGTTTCATTTAACTGATTTAAACTATTGTGGAGATGGGGTAGAGTTTTTCACAGGAGTGATGGCTTCTGGTTTTGTAGGAATGCAGCAGCCTAAAGGAAGTGTTCCTGTTATATAGGAGTCCTGGTTGGAATTTTTGGTAGGCGAAATTTATATATATTACTCCAATTTGTGAGTTTAGGATCGTATTTTCGAAATAGAAAAAACAATATGTTGAAAATTTTCATTCTAGATTTTGCACTAAAGTGGAAAACCATACTTTGTTATAGTTGCCTGAAATACAAAAATTAAATTTCTCTGCCTCGGTCTTAAGTTACCTTTTTACTTCACTATTTTTCTGGGATTGGGGCCTAGAGATCTCTTAAATGTAGAATATGAAGAATCTTGGGAATGCAGCGACATAGACCCCCTTCCTCCAGAAATTAAGTTTTGCTTGTGTGACAATGATGATACCAAAATGCAGGGCTTGATCCCTTGTTTTTATCATGAAATTTCATTTTTCCTGAAGGAAAAACACAGGAAAGATATGATTAGAGGATATGATTAGATATAAGTCTTTGTTAACCCTTGTGAAAATCCTTTTTCCATGCTTGCATTCTATAGGCTCTTCTTCTAAACATGACAAATACCCAACTTGCAGGAATGGTTTTAGAATGATTTTGATGTTTTTGAATTTGTATATCCGTTGTTTTAGGTTTTAGAGGTTTGGTGGGAGTGATGGCCTGTTTAGAATCAATTTTATTTTTTATGTTTTCATTGTTATTTTATTTTTATTTATTTATATTTTTTTTGTGGAAACAAAAACCATAGAAGTTTCAAAAACACATTATTTTGATATCATTTTCATTATTGTGTGAAAACAATTTTAAAAAATTTAGAAAAACAACTTAAATGTGTTAACAAAAAATTGGGTGCTGTTCTACAGGAATATATATATATATATATATATATATTTCTGAAAACAACTTCCACAAATAGTTTTCTACACAAGTTTTTTTCTGTGTCAGTTTCATATTTTCTGTTTTAGAGAGAGACAAATAGAAAACTGAGGACTTTAACAAAGGTTTTGCTTGTGTTTCAATTTAAGGGGGAGTTGATTATTGTCCCAAGTAATAATGTATGTGTGCTTTTCCGTGATATTGCTTGCAGTGTTCACTTTGTTATATTGCGGTACTACTACTAAATTTTCTATAGTAATTTTTTTTCTTATTTATTGATGTGACATATAGCATATTATTGAAGCGGGTTTTGTTCAGTTAGGAAAGTTTATATTGTTATAAGGTTCAAATTTTAGTTTTTTTTTTTTCAACAATAATTTTTCCTTAAAAAAATTAAATAACAATGAAATTTTGAACAAAAATTCAGGGAAGTTGACTATTTCGCTATTTTAGCTTGATTAAAATAGTTGTTTTTGGGAAGTTGATTATTTTTTTTTAGTAATTGATTTGATGGTTGTGAGAGAAAAAATAAAATGAATATGGATTAAATGTGATATTTTGTCGTATTAGTTATTTTAGCTTATCTTATCTTTTAGGGGTTATTTTAACTCAATTCTCTTTCCAACGTTTATGAAAAAATCTTTGTGTGGCTCTTATGTGCTGTTGTTGTTTGGTCCAGACATTTTATTTTATTTTATTATATACACATATATATATATATATATATTTAAATTTAAAAAATTATATACACATATATATATATATATATATTTAAATTTTAAAAAAATGTGTTATGCATTCATGTTGTGCGGGTGGGCGGTCACTCTCATGGTCTCTTGTGTGCATAATGAATAGTTGACAGCCACCTAACAAGAGAGACTCCCACAACAAAATAAATAAAAGATAGAATCCTTCGTTTTCAGCCAGTCTGCCTGTTTTCGTTATCATAACTTCCATTGTGTGTGTGTATATATATATATATATATATATATGTATATGTGTATTATATTATGATTGAATTTATTTATTTTTTAGATAATATATGTATATAGCATGTACTGAATTGGCAAAAGTTGAAATGAGTTTGTCCTTTGCTATTGCAATAGGCCATTAGGTACACCTAACTTTGTTGTGCTAAGGGGTTACACCCCACTATTTAATGGGCTAGTGTTTGATTTATTGGAAGAGAAGTTGAAATGGAATCATTAATATTTATTTTTATGTTTGGTTTGGAGTAGAAGAAATGAATATACATTCTAAGTGCTCGTTTGGGAAAGAAGGTTTTGGACTCTTTTTGGTTAAAATAGTCACAAAAAACAAAATAAGCTTGTTAGCCTAATAAAACAGAACATCACATTCAATCTATAATCATTACATTCTTTCTCTCACAAAAAAGTCAAAAGTCATTTTCAAACAAGATTTTTAAGTCTCAGGCTAAAATAACCCAAAAAAAAATTAAGAAGTTAAAAAATTAATTCACTTTTCAAACGAAAATGAAATCACTACACTTAGATGGTGAATGATTATTTCAATAGCAAATCTCGATTACTGATATTTCATTCCATCTTAAGATCTAAGGCTTTGTTTGGTAAGTAGTGATAAAAAAAAATTTCTTTACTTTTTTTTTACATCTTTTCGTAAAAAGTTAAAAAGTCTTTCCAAACATATTAATTTTTTTTACATCATATTTTAATTAAAATATCAAAAAATTATTTAAAAAAACCTTATTTCCAAAAGAGGCCTAAATATACATGTTTGATTGCCGAACTAAACATTGCATGTGGTGCACATCCTCTTGTACAAAATGCAATTGCACTAATCTTGAATCCCCCAAGTGGAGCATTCCTCAAAATAACCCGGCACTTACTCAACCAAACGCAACCTTAATTTTTTTTACATCATATTTTAATTAAAATATCAAAAAATTATTAAAAAAAAACCTTATTTCCAAAAGAGGCCTAAATATACATGTTTGATTGCCGAACTAAACATTGCATGTGGTGCACATCCTCTTGTACAAAATGCAATTGCACTAATCTTGAATCCCCCATGTGGAGCATTCCTCAAAATAACTCACTCACTCAACCATTTTTTTTTTTGTTTTTGTTTTTGTTTTTGTTTTTTTGAAAAAAAAAACTCCACCATGTTTATGCTTGAGGAATATTTCATAGTTTGCACCCACCAAGTATTAGTGTAATGATTGTGATATACTTTAATTAAACTGGAGATATTTATCTCAAAAAAGTATTCCATGGATGCATTGTTGTGATAGTGACAAGCTTTGACATAGAAAAAAAAACTTAGGGTACACCACCAACCCCACTACCTCTTCTATTCTACCGCCTACCCCTCACTTTCCAGTTATTTATCAAAATCATTTTCTAAAAAATAAATAAATTTTGCTAAATTTAAGTGATTTTAAGTTTATTTTTTAAACACAAGTAGTGTATTAAAATTGCATTTTAAAAACACAACTTAAGTCTTAAAGTCGTGTTCCACAATATAACAAACTTTACAATAAACTAATTGAAGTGTTTTTAATGAAACTGTGAACGCTAACTTCACAAAATAACATGATTTAAAAATAAATTAAAAACTGATTGGGTTTTAAAAATTGAGTTTTAAAATAACACAGTAATATTCTCCAAACTAATAAATTTCACAAGTTTTTTCTAGTTACATTCGGTTTATTTAGACAAAAAATATTTTTAAAAAATATTTTTTGGTGTTTGGTACAATGGAAAACGAAAGTCAACGGAAAACATTTTTTATGGTCAATGGAAAATAAGTTTATTTGGATAAAAAATGTTTTCCACTTTTAAAAGGTAAAAAATATTTTTCAGATCAAAATTTTACCAATATTACTACACTACCTCCACCACCACAACTCTCACCTCCACCACCATCACCATGGCCACCATAACCATCACCGCTACTGTCGCTCCATCACTATGCTGCCACCTCCACCTTCATTCCACCACCATCAAACATAGTAAACATTTTTTGAGAAAAATTTTCCGTCAAAAATATTTTTCACCCAAACAAATGGAACTTATAGCATTGTTGTTTAGCCTCTCACTTTCTGTTTATTTATTATCTTACCTTTTACAATATCTTACCTTTTACAAAGGAAGTGAGCTTGTTTGGCTAAAAATGCACAAAAGACAAAATATACTAAATAAGTTAATAAGACAAAATATCACATTTAAACTAAAATTATTTTATTTTTTTTCTTACAAAAGTCAAAAAAGTCAGAAAAATCAAACAAAAAAACTTTTAGTCTCAAGACAAAATAATCAAAAAATAAAAAAATAAACTAAAAAAGTCAATTGCCAAAGGACAACTTATTTTGTATCATTTTACCTTTCACAATGGGATATGAGATGAGAGCATAATATCCCATATTAGGTCTCTATATTTAGCTTCAAATTCAATCCCAATAGATTGTTATAAACCAGTTATTGATTTATTTAAGAATTAACCAACCAAAACCAACCCTGCTACATCAATATAAATAAATTTAAAAATTACAGTTTCTACTATAACTCTTTCAGCAATCTCTTCAGTATCGTAGGACGCAATGACATGATGTTGATGTTGAAATTGAAGCACCAACAACATTCACCTTAGAGGTTATGCATTCATTCCAAGCACATGCCTTGCTTTTTCAAAAGTAAAAATAAGAAAGCAACCATTTTGTGTCATTGCCATCATGGTTTTATTGAATGTATCAAACTTTCCTCCTAAATCATAGGATTCAATGAAGCAAGTATTTCTTACATGAAAATATGAATGTGTTGTTTGCTGTTGTTGTTTAATATCTTATAATGAGAATATATCTTTTTAATTGAAACACTCTCTTAGGGTACTTATTATTATTATTATTATTATTGCTATTTGAGGTAATTTTGAGTCAATGTGTTGTTACATTGGCAATAAGAAGATAAAATAGTTCTTTCAATAATCATTTTCCATAATGAGATGTTTTCATCAAATTGCCTTGATTTAAAGTTAAGATAGGATAATTAGCCAAGTTGTCTCAATTACTTGGGTTATTTTGAAAGAAAATGTACATGTTGGCTGGTGCTGCCCTTGCATGTAGTGAAAGTTTGATGACTTATGTTTGAATTATTAGTTTGGATAGAGATTTGAAAGAAAAAAATGTAAGTAAAATATAAATGAAATATAATTATATTTTGCTTATATTTTATGCGTCGTTTTTCTTATCATTTTCAAATTTCTTTCCAAATATATGTTCCACACACAACTTAAAGAAATATGTAAATCCCACACACATCGATTTTTTATAAAAATGTTAGTAAAGTAATTTCTAATTGTAGTAAAACTATAAAATTAATGTCCTC